CTGGTGGGCTACAGTCCATAGGGCCATAGAGTCGGACACGACTGAAGTGACTTAGCAGGAGCAGTAAATGCCGTCAAATACAGCGTTCCCTTTATCCCCTTATCCCTAACATAATCTTTACGCCTAGGGTCAGCGAAGTTTTTACATTGAGGACTATTTCGGACTTAGTGGGCCATTTGGTTATGCCTCCTCAACTCTGCCATTGTGAATGAAAGTAGTCATAGACATTACATAAACTAATGACTGTGGGTTTTATTCAAAACTTCATTTATGGACACTGAAATCTGAATCCCGCCAGGACTGCCTGAATCAGAACTAGATTCTGAAGAACTACCATCTTCTGAGATACTAGTATGTAACTGCTCGGACAATCAGAGAAAGAATCTGCATAAAATTCACTGAAAAATTCTTCACTCAAAAGTTCATGATGCATCACTTTTGAAAATTTTACAGTAATAATTTTGTTAGTAATATACACAAGGTTGGAACAAAAACCTAATGAAGCAAAATGTGAATGATAATGACAATCATTGAGTTGTATAATGAACCCTTGATCAATTTCAAGCTCTAACAATTTAGCACGGTAATGTTAATTGTATCACTCTCTAAAATGTACTGATGTTGTCTCTGGTCAATAATATTCAGGTAACAAAAGGTATATTAATATGTCTCTGGTTAATAATGTATTAAGAAGTATTTTATGGAGAAGTGTTCTGTAATTACTTATATATCTCATTCTTTATTAAACTACTGATTTATTTATGTCAGTATAGACTTACAGTTTCCTCTTCTATTCAGTGCTTTATAAACCATTACTTGGATGCTCAGATTTTTCCAGATTTGCCCAGCATAAGTCCCTTAAAGATTGTTTTCTGTATCCTTTTGACATGCAATCATTTCTTGAGTACTTCCTTGCTTTCTTGCTCTTCATGTACTTCTGCACAGCCATAGAATCAGCCATTTCTCCAGAGTCCTCACTCCTTTAAGTGGAGAATGTAGTGCTTGAATCTGGATGCTAGGAGCATGCACTGCACTGGAGGAAGAGGGGAACTGCTGCTCCAAGGCTCACTTAGTAGACAGAGCCAGGGAATGTTTGTACATACACCCATTCCTGTTTCTTTATGTTGAAATTCATGAGTTCACACCAAAACCCTGTACCTGCTATTCAAACTCAACACTAGAGTTTGTTCTAGTCTTTTCCCTTTCTGATAACAACTCCTCTAAAAATCAGAGAGCTGGCTTCCATTATCCTTAGTATTTCTTCGGTTTAATCGAGTTCCCTGTTCCTACACAATCCAACATTGCCATCCCTTTCCTGCATGGATGTCCTCCCCATCCCAAGTGTAAGAAGACTCCCAGAACTAGGCCACATCCCAGCTCTCACCCACACATCCCAGGCTGGGAACCCATTTGGATGGCAGCCCTACCTAATGTTGAACTGTGGGTAAAGGAAGCGATCCTGCTTTTCACTGATGTATCCCAAATATCTAAAACAGATCCTAGCGCATGGAAAGCAATACAAGACACTTTGAAGAATTAATTTTATAAAACTGCACAGTCAACAGTTCATTTAAATTCTTTATATTCATATACTTAACTTCCAAATATTTTCCCATCATAATAGATAAACTTTTTATAAAGTTATCAAACAGATTCAGGAAACAGTTTTTTAAAAAGTTTCACTCTAGGCAATGTGAAGTTTATCTTATATTTGGATTTATGTGCATGGATAAAACCTTGCAGAACTAAAAACACTCATTTTACCAATGTGTACTGCAAACATCAACATTGTTTGGGATCAGTTTAATAAAATAGAAAAGGTATTATTTTGAACAAAATTAACAGATACACTGTTACATCAGAAAATATGGAGACTACTTCAGAGATGGATACAGGTATGGTGTGGGGTGGGGATGGGCTAAAGCTTACATAACTTTGGAGGCATTTTTTAAGAATTAGGTACAGGGTCTTATGAAGGGGACTGTGTACCTGAGGAGGCCTGAATTTTAGGCAGCAAGTTGAAGAACGAAGTTAGAGTCAAAGTGTTCAGACCCAATGCTGGGCACAGAGCAGACACAAAATTTAAGATATTACTGAGGAACTCTGCATCTAGCCTGTTCCTCTACATACTAGGTCCTAAAAAATCTCTCTTAGATATTGCTAACTGACCCATGTCTTGTCTCATCTTGGAAAATAAATTCTAAATGAAGGTGTTGTTCAACCAAGAATGACACAGGATTCCAGTGAGGTCTTAATCATTTTAATTGACTTTAATGATTATTGCTCATCTGCAAGGATTAATATTGCATTCATTAAAAATCATTCAATACAAAATAAACTTGTTCCTCCTAAGTTGCTCTCCACATGCTCCCTCTGATGCCAGACATTTTCCCACAGTGTCCTTTGTTACATGGCTTGACAGAGACGGAGCCCTTACCGAGTATTCCTATGGACACAGTAATAGATACGGGAGCAGGGGGCAAGCCAGAGGGCAGCAGGACCTGAGCCCCTTCCCTCCAGCAGAGCTGACATGATGGATACCACTGTTGGCCAGGTTATCTCCCCTAAAGGATGTGCTGTTCTGATTGGCTGGTTAAATGCCCTGGGAAAAGGGCTTGAACTGTTAGCATCTACAGAGAAGAAAGCATGGTTGCACTGGCAAGGAGTGGGAAGGGGCAGGGTGGGGAGAAAAAGGAAAGGGAAAAATTTTTGGCAAGATCACTGTCCCCTGATAGGAAGTCACAGGGTGGAAGCTTTCCTTTCTTATATTTCTGTTTTAAATTAATGCCTGTCTCTCTGATCAATGGCAATAGGGAAATGAAAATTTCTAGTATCTAGCACTAATGCCTGACCCAACTTTGAAGGATCACAAGCTAGAACACGTTGAGGATTTAGAATCCTGGATAATTATGCACTTAAAGCTCATGAGCATAAAGCTCGTCTGACCATGCAGAAATGCTGGTAAGCAGGGTTCATGGCAGGGGAATACATCATCTCGCTGATCTCTGAGAGTGCCTCTCTGGGGATTCTTAGCGTGAGCCAGGACATACTGATTACTCTATGCACAAACTGCCCTTTGAGGTCTCAGTTCACACATCTTCTGTGTCATGTGTAAATCAAAAGCGGTACTGCTTCTGTAAAACTAAAGTTATATGGGGCCTAACGTCCCAGGCAAGTTAAACAGAGCTAATTCCCCTCACCCTGGCCCAATTTAGCCTTTCTCCTCCCATCCACACCTACCTCCCTTTAAATATTTTAAATTGCAGAAGCACAGCTGATCAGAAATTTGCTCTTGAAGAGAGTTCAGTGCTATATACTGACTAATGACTCAAGAAATTTGCTTCCAGCACAAGCTGATGGGCAGAGCTGATAAAATCCGCTATTATGGCCCCAGTTCATTGATGCTATGAACTATGGGCTAGAAACTGGGATTATCAGAGTTTGAAATCAGCATTTCTCTAGACTCAACTCTGCACTTTTAGCTCCAAAGGTTCAAAAGATAAATTGATAACAACTAATCACTCAAGCAGCTCCTCAATATTAAGACTAAACATTTTTCTTACTTAGAAAAAAAACAAAAACCCTAAAACAAAAACAGAAATAAATGCTAGGGGACAAAATTCAACTTAACAGAATAGTCTGGTTAAAAACCTGGAAAATGAGAGGGTCTGGTGGGAGTGGAGGAAGGGCTGTACTAAATCCAAGTGGGCCTACTGGGTCTTAACAAGCAACGCTCACTAGTATACGTCTCCGAACCAAACATACCACCTTTACACAGGAAACAGGGCTTGGAACATCTAGGGGAAATTAACATGCACCACCTACGTCTAACCTACCTGCCTGGTAGGTACCATCCCTGCTCCTCTGAAGAAGTGAAAGAGCACTGATTCCAGCAGCTGAGAAATGGGCTCTTTTAAGGCAATTTAGACATTGCAGATTGTTCCACAAAGACGGTACCTTAGCATCTCCTGTTAATAGGGTACCCAATTAAGACTATTAAGTCCCCAGAAATGGAAAAGAAAGGATCACCTTTCTGGGCTGGGAGAGTAAAATCCTTCTTTAGTGACTAGGGTGAGAAACCTTTAATCTCAGTTTCATCTAAAGAGCCATGAAGCAAGTTCCTGTGTCGTCTGTAGAACTTGGATAATGAGATGAAAAAAACAAGAAAGAAATTATAGGAAAAAAAAAAATCAAAAGGAAAGGATTAAGAAGAAAATAAAAGTTATCTTAAAAAATATTTCTTTTAGAATTGTGTGGTTCATGTGTTCTGGTCCTTGGTAATATGGTCCATTAGTATCTGTAAAGAAAGAGTGACTGGTTAGCACTTGTGTCTTCCACATGAGAGTTCCAAGAGGAGAATCAAAAATCAGGCCAGGGATTCCTGCAGTCATTCCCCAGGGATCATTTCTCACTGTGCTTCCACAGGATTTCCAACAATGCCATCTCTAGCTTTCTCTCCTACTCCCTAATAAGTCAGTGATTTTCAATGTGACAATATGTTAATTTACAAAATAAGCCTGGGCCCCATTCTAGACTAAATCTATCAGAATCTCTGAGGGGGAGGCTCAAGCTCCGAAATTTTAGAAATTTTTTTTATATCTTCTTTTTACTGACTCCTTTACATCTACTACTAGATAAATAATTTCTCTGTTTGCTTTTTATTTATTTATTTTTTTATAATGCATCTGTGTAGGTTCATCAGTTTTAATAAATATACCTCTCTAATGGAGGATGTTGATAAAGGAAGAAGCCATTCATGAATGGGGGCAGGAAGTAGATAAGAATTCTACTCCTCTCCATTTTGCTATGAATCTAAACTTGCTCCCCCCAAAAAGTCTTTTTTAAAAAACATCCCAATATTTAACAAGGAATCAAGCTCTGTTTGCTTTTTAGTGTGTGGCAGAGTTCTTGTACATTTCAAAATCAGCTATAATACTATTTAGAAAAGTCTGCTTGGCATAATATCAGGGAGAACATCTTTTCATTTACTTTCCCCCAAGTTACCTGTAATAATTGGGTTTGAATGGCCCATTTTTGTTGAGTCCCAGATATTTTGCTTGGTCATCTGTCAGCTCTGTCAGGTGGGCATCAAATGATGGCAGGTGCAAGCTGGCAACGTACTCATCTAAGAAGAACAAAGCAGCAGGGAGCAGACTCCATTTAAATTATGCCTCTCAGGGCATAACCTCGATTATTTCATCTGAAGCTTTCTGAGAGAGAGGACAAGCTTGGAATAACACTGAACGAATCTAACCTGGAATATCTGCCCAATTAAAAAACCACTCAAGGTTGTCTTTAAGGTATCTTTCAGTACCACCAGAACGTATTAAGAAAGCCATTTGCCAGGGTGACAAAATACGGCAACTTGCACCACTCCATTCCTCTGGTAAAGCTTGTGGGTTTACCTCAATGGCCAACATACCACGTACTACGCTCACCTTCCTGCAACAAATTCCTTAGCTGAATTAGAGTCAAATTCTGAATCAAGGTGGATCCTAGTGAGCTCAAAAGAGGTAAGTCATCAACATTTACTTAGAGTAAGATCCATAACGGCTTCAAATCTTCAGATCATGGATTTCTAAGGCAGCTGGCACAACTATATCAGTTTTCCATAGATAAGCTTCCTCGGCTTTTACCTTTATGAATGAATTAAAAACCAAAAAGGAATCTGAGGTAAGCTGCTGGAGGGGACAAAACCAAGGTGGTTTTCAGCTTTAAGGAGGACAGGGGTTTGGGCTGACGAGTGAGGGGAGATTGGCATCCGATCTGGAAAGGTAAGGATCTAATGTGTTAGATGTATTATGTCATGTGAATACAGCACTGCTGACTGCTGCAATGACAGGAGAATGTTTGTATGTCTCGTACAGGATGGACAATAAAACCTAGACTTGGTTTCTGTTTCTTGGTTTCTGTAATCAGTGGTAGTTAAGTTTATTAAACTTCATAAACTACTTGGGATAAGAGCATTTACCCTAAACCACTGTGCTAAAGCACCTTTACTCATTAGCTGTATTTCTTGCTACAATTTTGCAATGTATGTATTCTCAACTTACTGATAAAGAAACTGAGGTTCATGGAGATTAGAACTTGTCCTGAGGTCTGAAAACCATTCAGTGCCAGAAGAGGGATTATAATCCTGACTCTAAATCCAATGCTTTTCATGATACTCATTTTACCAAACCATGCAAGAGTCTAGGGATCAACACAGGTTTCTACTGTTTTCACTCACCCATTTTCTTAGGGAGCAAGTATACATCTTGTTTGTATCGTCCCTCAGGCGCATTATAGAGTTCTATCAGTGCCAAAGCCTAAGGCAGGAAAAATGGGTCAGAAAACACAAAAACACTTCTTAGGGACATTAAAATAAAACTAGGTTTAACAAGGTCTTGGGGTAAGTACTCAGTGAGCTACCACAGTGGCAGCACCCAGGACGTCGACTGTAATAAACACCAGCACACATCATAAGAGGATTTATTGGTGCTTTTGTTTAGGTCCTAATAAAAGAACAGACTAAACACAACTAAGCTGGAACACTGTATTCCTAATGAAAATAGTTAACGCAAAGGAACACAAACACTGACTCTAACTAACGATTATTTTCTATACTTGAGAAAGCCTAAATCTTTACAACTTGTAACTTGAAGAAAACAGGCTGCTAAGAACATAGGAGGCCATGCTCTCACTGGAACTCAAATCTAGGCCCAGATCCAGTCATCTTAGTGCAGGCTAGGCTGACATTCGGTCACGTACCTGTGTTGTAGCTGTGATGGACAGAACAAAGGTGGGAACTGTGGAGCAGCTCAGGTTGAGCAGACGACCCTGAAATGTGGGAACAGAGCCCTGGGGTGAGTTGTGTGACCCCTGTCCCATCTCGAAAGCCACACAAATGCAGGAAAGGACTTTATACCCCTCTCGACTCAGCTGGTAGAGGAAGGAGTACAGTTTCAAATCAGGACTCTAGGTTTTATCTTATTTTCTATAAGTCCACCTGAGTCTGACACACTAATGAATCAGTTGTGGTCAGGAAGTACTGTGTTGTTTAGTAAAAAGTAGATACTCTTTGAGTGATTCTATTTTGGGGAGGAGACTATATTTGAGAAATATACTTCCATCCAAAGATAGAGCTCAGGGAAAAACTGGCCAAATATGTTTACCCTGCCACCCCTCCCCCAAGGGGGCTAAGCCCACTGCCGCGCTGCCCGAACCCTTCAGGATGTGCACCTCTGCCAGAAGGACGACACGTTTGCCGTCCGGCCAGATGACATGATCCACCTGAGAACGTACTCGCTCCCATGTCAGCTCAGGAGTGCGGAGGCTGGTCTGAAAGGAAGAGAGCGAAGTTGACTGGCTATAATGGAAGAAGGAAAAAAGGTCTAGCAACAGGTAAGAGAAATCTTACCACATCAATTTCTGTGTTTGAGTGGCCCATATTGCATACGATACAACTGTTTTTCATGCGATCCAAATGCTCCCGTGTCACTACATTCTTATTTCCTAAAAGTAAAACAGAGTAACTGGGGAAAGAGATCCTGTGGGGGAAAGGTACTGACTTTCAGTTAAAACATGGGAAAGAGAACTCCTGGCACTAAAGAGCATGTGAGGAAAGACGTGTGTGTTGCATAACAGCTCTTTAAGGTTCAGTTATTTCCTTTTAAGATCAAGCAGTACATAAAGACATCAAGAAAAAAGGCTCTTTGTTTCAGAAAATATGTTAAGGTTCTGACTGCTTAACTCTAGTTCTCAGATTTTTATGTAGGACACAGGTCTTACCTACTTTATATGAAAGTCAACTAGATCACATTCAAGATTTAACCTCAGTTAATACTCTTTCATGTACACCAAAGCATTGCTGGGCTTCCCTGATGGCTGAGACAGTAAAGAAATTCCCTGCAGTGCAGGAGACCTGGGTTCCATCCCTGGGTCAGGAAAATCCCCTGGAGAAGGGAATGGCTATCCACTCCAGTATTCTTGCCTGGAGAATTCCACAGATGGAAGAGCCTAGCAGGTTACAGTCATGGGGTCACAAAGAGTCAGACATGACCAAGTGACTAACACAAAAGCTCTGACACTCACCTGTGCAAGTTATTACAACATCAACTTGCCGGATGACTTCATTTAGCTTCACCACCCTGAACCCATCCATGCTGGAAGAAAAGAAAGGAATACTATGAGCAAAAGTGGGACAGAAGCTGGTCACAAAATGAGGCAAATCTGTTTCTGAAGTAGGGCTACCTCACTGGAATGATAAGTGATAAGCTGTGCTAAAATATACACACTGGCCCCTTCAAACTCCCCAAGGTTCCATCCAGGAAGGGAAAATATCAAGAAGCTCTATGAGTGCCCTATGATTACAATGGAGAGAACGGAGCAATTATAGCTGTCTCCTTCTTTGAGGAATTTTCCCAATACAATCAATCACAAACTCTTGGAAATATAAAGTACCTGGAGTGAATCTAATGGTATTACCACTCTGTTCTTACCAGGCTTGCAGAGCACAGATGGGGTCAATTTCCGTGATATAGACAATTGCTCCAAGGGCCTTGAGAGCAGCACAGCAGCCCTTTCCCACCTGCAGATGTAAAACAGAAGTCAGATCCACTGCGGCGTGGGTATTCAGGATGGGTTTCCCTGATGGCTCAGCAGTAAAGGATCCATCTGCAATGCCGGAGGTGCAGGTTCGATCCCTGGTTTCTGAGATTCCCCTGGAGTAGGAAGTGGCAACGCATTTCAGTACTCTTGCTGGAGAAGGGGATGGCTATCCACACCTGTACTCCTGCCTGAATATCCCAGGGACACAGGAGTCTGGTGGGCTACAGTCCAAAGGGCTGGACACAACTGAGTAACTGAGAAGAGCACACACACATGAGGGCAGGCAGGCTCTCTGGGAGATGGGAATTAACCTCCTCGAACCCATCAATCATCTAGCAAATTCTGGCAAAGATGCTGCAATCCACGCAGAGGAGAAACTGATCCTGATTATATTGTGATCAGAGAAGTGATTTTACCAGACATTTCATAGCGAAGGCTGGAGACTGGGACAGTAAAAGAGATAAAGGAAATAAAAGTATCACCATCAGGGAAACGAGACCAAGGAAGAGCAGCCTGGTCTGAAGGTTACCTTCAGATCCTTATTCTAGGAAAACTTGATTAACTGTCACTTGAGAAGTATCTAACTCAAGACAGTTTAGCAGCTCAGGAACTTCTGTGGATCACTGTTTATGACAATAAATACAATCTCATCATCTGTTCTAGTTTAGAGATAATCAATTATAGGCCACTTCAGATTCTACCCTTCACTGGCCACCTGTGGAGCCAAAATGTTACATATTTCACTTGAGTTAAGTCTCATAAAAGGTTACTGTTATAACTGGGGGGGAATGATGCCAACATTCCATATCATAAGACAAAGCGGTACAATCTGAAAACTCAATTCATTCCATATGTCTGTATTTGTGTGAATAAAGGACTTTTGCTACAATTTTGAGATACCTTATCTAAAAGCATATTCTAAACTCTTTATCAGTACTCTACACTGACAACACAAATCTCCTTCACAACATTTGTAACAAGCCTGTGAAAAGGCAGAACTGAGGCCCAGCTACTTACCTCACCATAGCCACACACTACCACTTGTTTCCCACCAAACATTACATCTGTGGTCCGCTTCAGGCTGTGGAAATAGACAAGGGCTCAACTCAAACATTATCAGCTGAAACACAGTCCCTCTGAAAATAAGTGTGGCGCAACGCCCCATGAAAACTTCCACTAGAAGCTGGCTGGGCTCAGTATGAGATAGAACCCCTCTAACAAACTTTAAGACCAGGGGGCAAAACTGGAATGATATCAGACTAACATTATAACCCAACCCAAATTTATCTCCTACAAATCTGAATAATTATACATTTCAACCTACCCATCCAAAATGGATTCTCGGCAGCAGTATAAGTTATCAAACTTCTGTTTGGTAACAGAATCATTGACGTTCATGGCTGGAACACAGAGCTTCCCAGCTTTGGAGAGCTGATACAGCCTAAAGGGAGAAGAAAGCCACAAAAACAAAAACAAAGTTAGCTGGTAAAACACAGTAACTGGCAAAGTCTGCCTAATTCTCTTCAAGCTCTGTGCTGCCCTCCCCAGTCTTATTTTTTTGCCCAAGAATATCAGTAAACAAGATATTTCCTTGTTATGTCTACTCATGTCTTTTCATTTTCTCTCCCTCAAACCCCTCTCCTTTTTTTGGAAGGAAAAAAACCAATCTTTCAATTTAAGAAATTTACTTCTCTTCCATAAAAGGGGATATAGTTCCTTAGACCAAGCATTTTCTCAATCTTTAAAAAAAAAAACCCACGCCTACTTCTGATAAAGATTATCAATGATTCTGATATGGTTCCGTGTGTGTGTGTGTTTAAGCATATGCAAGGTACCCCCAAATGAGAAATACTCTCTCAAGTATTTTTTAGGTATTACAACAAGCAAATCATATTTTGCCCAGGTTTATTTTTTATAATATGTATAACATATAGTTTTACAATAGATTTTTTAATTTCAAATATAAAAGTATAATCTAAAATTGAATACAGTTTTTCAAGATATACTCACTCCCTACCTCCCAGCACTGATTGGGAATCACAGTGAATAAACAGGTGAGAAAACGTCTGAACTAGAATCTGAAATAACTTCTTTTAGGGTCTCCATGATTTTTTAAAGGTAAAAACTCAGAAGTTTTATCTAATGAAAATACTCCCATTTAAGTTACACGTCTGAAACACAGCCCTAAAGCCTAAAAGAGACCAGGAGAATCTGCTGAGGCAAGGACACAAGGGGCAGCTACTCCAGAATCTGTTACCTGTGAACACCAGTCACGCTCTCTTCCACAATGCCTCGGATCTTCTTAAACACGTTTGGATACTTCTTATAAACCCAGTGGGTTAAGTCTCCCCCATCATCCAGGATCTATAGAACAGCCAGAAGACTTCTATGGGCATTCAGGCTGCTAGAGCTGGGGGGAACTTTGAACCCACTTTCTGCACTATATGTTTTGGAAGAGCACTTCTCAGAGCTCCTTAGAGCAGGTTTAGATAGTGGAAACACAGTCAAATTTGTTGGTGTAAATGGTTAAAAGGATTCCTAAGTTTGTTCTAGGCTATAATGAAGAGTAGCAGTAGGCTAATCACAGACTCATTTTCAGTCTAGAGCCCTGAAATACAGCCCCTTGGAACACAAAAGGAGAGCTGGGGCAGGGAGGAAAGAAACCATAATTCTACTCCAAAGAGATAACCATATCATGTTCTTCTATTTCATTCTGCTGTGTTTGAGCCACATGTGTTCAGTTGGTCTTACCCTTCCCCCGCCTTTCCATTCAGTACTGAGACCCATTTTGAAAAGGTATCAAGCTAACCACTTTGGCAACAAAGTAAGTGTGTAAGACCAAACATCCAAAACATATTTAGGGAACCATGCTTTGAGGGAAAAAAGGAAAGAAATCCATTGTCAAAAGTATAGGATGAATATGCATTATTACCATATTGGCTTGCCACCCATCCATGTTCACACAGCGGTCAATACACCACCAGAAGTCATCTTCTGACTCGCCCTTCCAAGCAAACACTGCAACTCCTGTAGAGATGAAAACAAATCAGCCGATTCCTCCTTTGGGGAGTGTCCTATGCCAACATCTCTGAGACCTGAAGAGAAAAAGGCTACGGAAATTACTCTGGAAAGGAAACAACTTACGAAGGGTAAAAAGTTAAGGGAGCATCTTTAGTCCAGAAATCAGGCAAGAATTTAAGGGATTTTTATTTTTAAAAGTATTTTAGAACCTTAAAATATTATTCTCTTTGGTCAAATTTTTCTTTTAAATGATTTTATTTATTTATCTTTGGCCGTGCGGGGTCTCCGTTGCTGCATGGGCTTTCCTCCAGTTGCGGCGAGCAGGGACTACTCTACCTGCAGGCGTGTGGGCTTCTCATTGCGGTGGCTTCTCTTGTTTTGGAGTTATGGGTTCTAGAGCACATAGGCTTCAGTAGTTGAGCACATGGGCTCAGTAGTTGCGGCTCCCGGGCTCTAGAGCACAGGCTCAACAGTTGAGGCGCACGGGCTTAGCTGCTCCGTGGCAGGAGGGATCTTCCTGGATCAGGGATCAAGCCCATGTCTCCAGTATTGGCAGGTGGATTCTTTACCACTGAGCCATCAGGCAAGCCCCTCTTTGGTCATTTTTTTATATGCAACTTTCTTCTAAGGAGATAAAATGAAGCGGGAATCCAAATGAAGTTGTTCATTACATTGTTTATGTTAGCAAATCTCTTGAAACAACCTAAATGTTCAACATTAGGAAAATAGTGAAGTAAAAAAATCACATGGTCACATGACTGTTATAAATGATATGGTCAAATTTTTGAAAGACATGGAAACTACTTCTGAAAATGTTATATTTAGGTTATAAAATTGGATATATACTGAGACTTATTTCACCTCTGTAAAAAGTGAACAGAAAAAATGAGAAATATGATAATATATTTATCATATATAATATGATAATATATGATAATAAAAAAAGGAAATAATATATTATCTCTGTGTAGTAGGATTTTAGGGTTTTTTGGGAACCTCTAAAATTTTCTGCAATAAACATCTGAAAAGAGTAAAGAAGAAAAACAAAAGTGAGATACAGTTGCTTTCTGAGGATCACAGGAAAGTGGAAGAACCTTAAAAAACTTCAGAGTGATTTTCCTTTGACCATTTTAACAATAAAAATTGTTTTATGTTTAACTGAACTCATAACTAGTTCATATATTTTCAGTGCAATACTGAACACCAAATTATCTAATGAACTATCAGATCTAATGAACACAAGGTACTTCTTGTGTCCTCTCAAAAGTGATGAAACTTTTGTGAAAGGAGACCAGCTGAGCTCATACTCATATAGCTCACATAGTTTAAAGTTCTTATTCATTTAACATTAGAATTAGGCATTTCTCCACATATTAGATTCTTTACAAAGATCACTTTTTAAAAAAGTGAATGTGTACAAAGATCATTTTAAATGACTATCTTATGTTCCACTATGGATCTGGATCTTCACTGTCCATTTCCCTCCTTTTGACATTTTTTATTACCCTCTACATATTATAGCTCCGAGACATACATGACAGTAAAGATAATTCTGGTATGTAAAAATGATGTTTGGATATTTACTTTGAGGTAAACAGTGGAAAAAAGCTGAACTTACCAGCCTCAGCCAGCGCTGCAGCCACCTCATTCTGAGTGGAGTAGATGTTGCAGGCAGACCAACGGCACTGAGCCCCCAGGGCGCAGAGTGTCTCAATCAACACCTGTGCAGACATATAGAGAGACAGTGAGGAAGGCGGCCAGGCAGGAGTGTTGATTAACAGAATACCTAGGAACTCAGTGGCAACAGGCGCAACACTGGCAAGTAACAACAGGGTGTAATCCACTACTTAAGGCACAAGAATCTACCTTGACCCAAAACAGGTAATCTTAGTAACACATTTACAGCTATCATATTTTGCAAATCTAGATCTCCCTAAGGCAGGTTTGTTAAAAGTAAGTTATACAATCAAAGTAGAAAACCCCGTTATAATGTAACTGGAAGGTCCAGTTAATAGTTAGCATTTGGAGGTTAGATAGGGAAGGAAAAGCAAGTAAAAAAAAAATCACCACTCCCCTCCTCAACCCACCACCAGAAGTCCATCATTTTCTCCCAACAAACTCACCGCTGTCTGGGCTGTGATGTGTGTACAGCCCACTATTTTAGCACCAGCCAAGGGCTTCTCCCCCTGAGCACGTTTCCTGAGTGAAATCAGAGCAGACATGTCTGTGAAAGAACAGAGGATTTGAGCTAGGTCTGCACTAGTGAGATCATTAATTTCTGCCCCAGCAACATCTAGGGCTGAGATATGGTGAGGTAAGGGAGAAAAACTATTTTTTTTTTTTGGCCTTGACACATAGCTTGTGGAACTTTAGTTCCCCAATCAGGGACTGAACCTGGGCTCTTGTCAGTGAAAGCACAGAGCATTAACCACGGGACCACCAGGGAACTCCCTCTAAGCATATTTATTTGATGTCTGGCAGCTTCAACTGTAGAACAAGAGCAGGGAGTTGTCATCTAACCACCTGGAATTTCTCTCTTCCTCTACTATTTCAGACTTATATGTAGAGGGCTTGTGAAAGTGTTAGTCACTCAGTTGTGTCCGACTCTTTGTGACCCCATGGACTGTAGCCCGTCATACTCTTCTGTCCATGGGATTTCCCAGGCAAGAATACTGGAGTGGATAGCCATTCACTTCTCCAGGGGGATCTTCCCAACCCAGGGATCAAACCCCGGTCTCCTGCACTGCAGGCAGATCCTTTACCAGCTGAGCCACCGGGGAAGCCCACAGAGGGCTCATATGTAGTCAAATTCTCAAAAGTGGAAGTGAGTGTCATCCTTCATTTGGGAGGAGGAGGAGTAGTTATGTCACTGGCTAATGGATTCCTACAGAGTAAAATCATCAGACCTGGAAGGAAGACTTTGCACCAGCAGAAGCCACTTGCTTCTGTTTGTCTATGCTATCTAATCCTATTCCGTTGGTTTTTTTGAGTTCTGTACTCCCACCCAGTATAGAACATGTCTCCAGTGTGATAAAAAAGTAAAGAGACATTATTTTGAGTGGGGCTGTGTAGAGAAACCAAGATTTAACTGATTGTCAAATTATTTTTACTCTTGATCCAGCAGAGGGTGCTTAGGATCAAAGACCAAAAGAGATCCTAGGTCACCACATCCTTAGCTGAAAACCCTCCCAACATTTGCTACTTCTGGGAAATCTGGGTCTCTGAGATTGGCAGCAATGGTAGGATCCCGCAGAACTAACCATTATGTACTGATCCAGGATTTGCTGACTCTGCAAGCAGATCTATGAATATGGTGTCATGGGGGAGGAAAAGAGAAACTACTCTGTGTAATTACCACACACTGAGAACAGGAAGCAGCAGAGAGAACAAGAACAAGAATCCTGAGGCTCAAGCTCCATACAGAGAGAGCTGTTTATTTAAAAGTTCAGGATATTGGAGTTTCCCAGGAGACTTTCGTTAGCTTCCCAGGAGACTTTCGTTAGCTTTCAAGTCTTAAATTGTTTGTGCATCCTGATGACCAGCAAGTGCGTTGCTTCTGGTCCCCGACCCACTCCCTTTCTTTACCTTGCTCTGCAATCTCAATCTCCCGGCGTCCAAATTCCGCTTGCTTGATGTTCTTCACACAGAAATTGCTGCTGCCCTTGGAGTTGGTTTGCTGCTTTTCTCGGGGGGAAACCTCATCATCAGAGCTATCTGTGTAGGATGCAGCTAAAGCCAGGAAAGAAAGAAATGAGGAAAGAAAAACCTCAATGGCCCCAACCCCACAGAGTATAGTCCCCAAAGGACTCTCATTTAAGTTAAGCAAACGCTCTTAATTGGAGCCACCTTTTACATCACTCTCCATTCTACTTCAGCTCTAAGAAATGGTATGAATGAAACTCCTGTAGATCCTTCTTCAGTGTTGCAGCTCTTTTACCCATCCTGATAATTTTGCCATCAGTGCCTGTGATAAGGAGTTATTGATCCCAAAATATGCACCAGCTCATGGGGCTCTTGGTCCCAATGAGACTGGAACCAGACATGGCAAAAATGGAAGAGTAATTTAGGGCATATAAGGAATGCTATTTCTATAGATCACCAGTTCTCAAAGTATCTAAAGCATCTATCAGAATCACATGGAAGGTTCACTGAAACACAAAAGGCTAGGTCCCACTGCCAGAAATTCCCATTCGGTAGGTTTCAGGTGGCATCCAGGAATTAACATTTCAAACAAGTTCCCAAGTGCTGCTGATATTGCTGTTTAGAGGACCAAACTCTGAGAACCATTAATGCAAAAGGAAAAAAACAATAAGATAATCTTTTATTACAAAATTTTTTATAGAGATTTTACATTAGGTTGCACCAAGGAACAGAGAAATGACACAAAAGATAAGCAGCTCTGGTTCTATTGCCAGCCCTGAGATCACTCAAGATAGTTAACTTTATAAGCCTCACAAAAAGCTAAAAATGTCCTTTCAGATAGATATGCAAGAGGATATATAACAATGACTCTTTACCTTTCAAATCACTTCTTTTCCGTTTTCCTGATCACTGTCTCAGCCAGTATACCAGGTCTCTCACTGAGTGCTACATACACATCCTCCTCTGTCCAGCTAGCACAAATAGTACTAAAGGTTATCTACCCACTAGGACAATTTAACTCTATCACTAAGCTTTTTAAAATGATCTACTAGGTCCCCATAAAACATGGCCATCAAGATCTTTAAAACTTCCTTAAAGCTTTTGTTACTCATCTCAACTTTCTTTCTCTTCTAACTCAATCTTTCAAAATTTTTTCTTTCTTAGCTATAACTAGCCTGCTTGTCACCTATCACTTTTTGTATCTATCTCATTCCAAGACACTTTTTCATTTATGACAGCCATTATATTTGGAACTTTCCCTGCACACACGCCCACATTGAGTGTGCATATTCAACTTTTCTTTTATTTTTTATATTCACTTCTTTTCAAATGAACCATGTACATACACTACCATTTGTACTTGTCTGCTTATCCTGTCCATGGTGGGACACAGTGTAGTGGCACAGGGCAGATAAAAAGTTTTCAAAAACTGTTTATTTATTTTTTAAAAGTCCTTGTACCTCAAGCCCAGTCCTTAAGTTAATAATACAATGCAAACAAGATTCTGGCAAAAGAGAAGAAATGGCTTTTGGTACAAATTCCTTTGCTGACATTTACAGCAATCTATGACCTTGGGCAAGTCTTCTAGTCTTTTAACAATGTTTCCTCAAGTTGAACATTGAGGGGGTTGGATTATATGCCCCATTTCCTCCAGTACTCAAACTAAGATTGTATATCCTTTTTCATGGTAATTTTCTAACATCCTCCTTTAAAGTTGAGAGCGGCACAATTCAAAGCAGAAAAAAAAAAAAAGATTACTTACATAAGGTTAAGACAGAAGAGGAAAACTAAAAAGAGTGAAATACCAATTTTTATTGTGATGATTCACACAGTTAAAAGGCAAGAAAAAAAATAGGTGGCAGGGTATATCTTAAACAAAGAAATCAGAAATTATGCTCCCAAAGTATACCTCTTTTTCAAGGCCAGCTCTTGTCAGCCAAAGTGACTTTCTCCCTTCTCAATGTGGGTAGATAAACGTGGGAATGGGAACCAGCCCAGTACTGTCAACCACGCACTGGCCACAAACCACAATCAGAAATCATCAGGGGAGGAAAGTCTCAAGACGACAAAAGCTTCTCCAGCTATAAGCCTTGCTGGGAACATTCCCATTGCCACCCGATAGTTATCAGCTTTGAGCACAAAGACAGGCAGTCCTGACAAGAGGTATTTTCAGATCCTAGATAAGTGAAGAGAACTGGGTGGAGCACTAGCCCAAGGCTCTGGAACAGGGAAGAGAGAGCAGAGAGAACAAGTTCACACTTACCTGAACTGTAGCTGTCAGTGGAGGACTGAGAGATAGAGCGAGACAAAGACCGCCGGCCAGTCTTGGTGGGAAATTTGGTGAACTCCTGCATGTCATCAGCAAACTGAATTTGCTGTAAGAGGAAGACGAAAAGTTTTAACTTAAAACAAGGATTCTATGAAATGTTTCATTTTTAAAGGTCATACAATGTCTCCCCTAAAAGTTAACGTTATCACGTGAAAGTGAAAGTGGCTCAATCGTGTCCGACCCCCACGGACTACAGTCCATGGAATTCTCCAGGCCAGAATACTGGAGTGGGTAGCCTTTCCCTTCTCCAGGGGATCTTCCCAACTGAAGGATAGAACCCAGGTCTCTCGCAGTGCAGGCGGGTTCTTTACCAGCTGAGCCACAAGGCAAGCCCAAGAATACTGGAGTGGGTAGCTTATCCCTTCTCCAGCAGATCTTCCCAACCCAGGAATCGAACCAGGGTCTCCTGCATTGCAGGTGGATTCTTTACCAACTGACCTACCAAGGAAGCCCTTAATGTTATCATGTGCTCCTACTAAATCAGCAATTCTTCCACCAGAAATGAGGGTGGCAGAAGCTATTCTCTGACTCCTTCCAAAATGCCAATTACTATCTCTTCTCAAAGATTTCAGCAGAATTTGGGGCGGGGGGGGGGGGCGGTGGAGAGAAGAAGGGGAGCAGACAGAGAAAGCTTAAGATCCAACTTCATTCAGCATTTGTCTAATTTCACAGGTCTTCTTTCTCACATTCCATAAGGTTTTCTTTCCTCTTATAACCTTGACACATTAAAATAAACTTTTTACCCCCTTGTTCACAACTCTATCAAAAAGCAGGCATAATCTCTTAGGGTTTCTTCTTGTTTTTTATTTCAGAATATTCTCTTGTAGCATATCTTATCCTGAAGTTAGCAGTGGTTTTGTTACCTGAAAAGATTATGAAGAGATGCCTTAAATGGCGATGGGCATTGGGGTGCTAATAGCCAGAGTCCAGTCATATACCTATCCTTTACAAAGGCAATGGAATAACACTAGAACCTGCTATATCCAGTAAAATACTAGAATATCCTAATAAAAATTTAAAAACACTCACCATAATAAATTCCAACTAATTTGAAGGAAGGAGAAAATAATAACTTGGTAAATTCTGTGTTGAAAACTTTCTTTAATGAAATAAAGCAGAACAAGATAACTGTTGAAAAGATACTTGGAAGATTGGCTTTAATAAATGGCAAACAGCTTACAATTAAAATTATTTATAGATAAATTCATGAGTGTCTCTAAAGTGTAGGAAAACACTCTGTGAAGTGGTTTAGACCTTCCTGAATTCCTATTTAAACTGATAAACCCTTTCTTTGAAATGTAAAATAAACCTCAACCTCAGCTGAAAAACAGAACCTGAGATTCTGAATTGAGAAACAATTTAAGTTTGAGAATCAAGCTTCTCCTCACAATCTGACTAAATCTGAAAAGGTTCCCAAAGAGAATTCATTAATCTAAGCTTTCAGCAAAAAACTGGAAATGTAACCTATTACTGGAAACGTAACCTATTACAGATGAAAATCTTCTTTCCATAATGCTGGCAGCCTGGTTATAGGCCTTTTGAAGCCAGCATTAGTAAACTGTCCATTATTTACCTCTGCTAAAGGTTCCCCTCCTGTCACATGTACCCTCCAGCTAGGGCAGCATCTGGTGGCAGTATAAGAGTCAGGCTTAAATGTGCAGCTAATATGAACAAGGCGATTACTGAATTAGGAGGAAAAAATAAGGAAGCAGTAATCAAGAGAATCAAGATTTGTGTTTTTATACCAAGAATCAAAGCAGAGAATACTGTCTTTGGCTTTCAGCCTTCTTTATGGTCTAACTCTCACATCCATACACCGCTACTGGAAAAACCATGCTGACGTTACTTTGCCAACATAGGTCCGTATAGTCAAAACTATGGTTTCTCCAGTAGTCATGTATGGATGTGAGAGTTGGGTCATAAAGAAGGCTGAGTGCCGAAGAACTGATGCTTTTGAACTGTGGTGTTGAAGAAGACTCTTCAGAATCCGTTGGAGAGCTAGGAGATCAAATCAGTCAATCCTAAAGGAAACCAATCCTGAATATTCATTAAAAGGACTGATGCTGAAGCTCCAATACTTTGGCCACCTGATGTGAGAACCAACTCATTGGAAAAGACCTTGATGCTGGAAAAGATTGAAGGCAGGAGAAGGGGGCGAAAGAGGACAAGATGGTTGGATGGTATTACCAACTCAATAGATGAGTTTGAGTAAGCATTGGGAGATGGTGAAGATCAGGGAAGACTGGTGTGCTGCAGTCCATAGAGTTGCAAAGAGTTGGACACGACTGAGCAACTGAACAACAATAATACTGATGCCATAGGTATCCAATTTTGTGGCTTTTCCTTTAGGTTATTTTGTGAAATAGAGAGGAGGGAGAGTCCACAAACTTTTTTTTTTTTTTTTTTTTAAAGTATAAGGACAGATCCTAAAGCTGTGGAAGGGAAAGAGAGCTACATTCTTGGCACCTAGGCCAGGGTCTTGCACATAGAAAGCATTCAATAATTATCTGTGGGATGAGTGAGCCTTTCAAATTTCTTCTGTTAAGAACAAACCAATCAAATTTCAAAAACAAATACTAAAGACTCAAGCAAAACTACATATACTACACCTGAACTTAATTAACAAGCACCTTTAAGCATCCGAAGAAACAGCCTTTTCAGTTTAGGTGCTAAAACTTTAAATAGCTTAAATGTCAAAAACACAACTGCCTTTCCAAACCCAAACAAACGCACTTACTGAAGTGGCCACTAGTCAGCATCTGGCCTTCTAGATAGGATTTCCCACTGCCTGTTCACATGACTTCTGCAGTCAGCAAAGCTAGTTTTACTGAAGGGATTAATCCAGGACCAAGGTAATGACTTTCAACCCAATATGCAGTTATTTTGGTGGCAGAAAAAACACACAGTCAAGAGACTATCAACACCATTCAACACTGTGCAGAGGCAGCTCCTCCAACAGCTTCCCTGCTCCTGATACGGGCAGCCTGTTCGGAAGCCACTCTCCTGTAATGGCTGTTACAATTCCCTCCCCTGATCATCTTTTTACTTCCAAAGGTTCTGGATATATTCTCAGATACCACCTACCTGGGGGTAGAAGGGTGGGGGAGGGAACTGCAGTAACCTTTTCAGTTTTTAAAACAGAAAACAGAGAGAGAGCCTGCTGTGTCAAGATAGAAATGTATTTCTTTGGCAACCTAAGAACTAACAGTCATAATCCCACCTTGTATTATTACAGCTCATCGGTAGCCTAAAGCTTAGCAAAATCTTTCCCATCTAAAAATACGAGACTGTTGCAAGTGGCTTACTAACCACTGCAGCACCTCAACTCTCAAATAATGAATATGGTCCATATTTGAAGTGAGTAAAAAGTTAATTCAGGCCATGACATGAATGGGTTATTGTCTATTCTTGCAGCATTTTGACAATCTCAGTGCTTACAAGCAAGACGATTCAGATACACACAGATGCACGATAACCTTGTCTTCTCTCTGACCCTGAATAACTTGCAGAAGAGAACCTATATCAACAGCTGCTGTTGTGAAATGCAGCTTCTCTGCCAGATTCCACCAGGCCTGCAAGCTCCACTGGCTGTCTTCACAGCAAGAAGCTCTGTCTTCTCTGTGGTGAAGTACCACCTGGAGTGTTATTCACCTTCACATTGTAAACAAAGACAGTGCTGCCAAAAGCAATTTATAGATATCACAAGTTTTCTCTCTAGTGAAACCAGATCTCAATAATACCCTTCTAATTGGATTGGACTCACTCCATTTAAGCTAAACACGGTCATTTAGGTGAAAACAAAATACACACAATGACTACAAAGTTGTTATGTTTACATTACTTCCTATTTATTATGATTTCTTCTAACCATTATTAAGTTTTAACTGGTATGCTCTCATATTTCTTCAAATCTAGATTTAAAGACTGCCAGGTCTAAATATGACATAGGATGGGGATGGAAGGGAGGGGAAAGAAGACAGGTTGAAATCCAAAGTGGATCTGAAAACCAAAAAGTCCTATGCTAAAGAACTATTCTGTCTTGATACTCACCTCCATAAACAGCAAACACACAACAAACACACCAGTGTTCCTTTTTTTTTTTTTTTGGTTTGTTTATTTCTGGCCATGCCACATGGCTTACAGGATCCTGGTTCCCTGACCAGGAACTCAATCTGGATCCACAGCAGTGAAAGCACCAAGTCCTAACCAACGGACCACCAGAGAATTCCCACCAGTGCTCTATTCCTGAATTAACATCAGTCACATCCGAGAAAGGTTAAAATATCAGACTGACCCATTCTCCAAACAGTACATTCAAATACGAATCTACTTGCTGTGCCTTAAAAACTCAATTAAATGTCAGGCCAATTTTACATGCTAACTATCTTAGAGCACTTTTAAAAAGATGATTTTTATCTATGTGATACTGAGAATGGTAAAAAAAAAAAGTTCTACTGAAGAAACAAATTGGGGTATGGTATACCACCATCTCGTGCTAAGTCTGGTGACAGTGAGCTAAGAATTGCTCTACAGAACTTAGCAAGAAAAAGGGATCACAGGCAATCGAAAACAACTCCAGAGAAGAAAAACAGTTGTTTACTATTCCTTAGTTGATCCTAATTGATATTTTTTACCATCAGAAGCTGCGAAGTTTACTTCCACAAACACATGGTCTATCTACTCAGATATTTAAATTGCTTAGTTACACTTCCTTCCCAGGTCCCACCCGATTTTGCTTTCTAGCTCCTAAATCAGAGAATTAACAGCCACGAGAATTCTACTATGACACTATAGCCAATGGACAGTTATAAGGGTAACACTCAGAGTATTACATTCATTTAGTCAACACATCTAGTAGGCACCAACTAAGTTGTCAGTGCTAATATAGGAAAGAGCTCAGAAAAGAAATATGGTCCCTTACAATCTGTAGAAGTGTTCTGATCCACAGTATGACAACCCAAAGCCATATGACAAATGGCTTTGTCATAGAATTTTACTGCTTCTTTAGGAACATGCTAGATACTGTAGTCTTCACAGCCTAATCTG